CATACTGTGCTGGGCTCATGAGCATTTCCACCGGCATTTCACAGGGACATGGCTTCAGATAGCAAATGCTAATGGTCATACATACATAACCTATTCAGACTCATTTTACATTTTCACACTTAGAACTCTGCTCAAAAACAACTGCTGGAGTGTCCTTGCTGCTATCCAGCTGCTATTGCACACAGCTAGTCCCTCAGTCACGGCTTGCTTTCTACCGTTCAAAGGGCCCCTCACAGAAGTGTGATTCTATTTGTTAGCTAAAACCTTCTTAGTGGGAACACTGAAGTTTTTACTGGAGTGTGCCCCTCCATCGCTGACCTTTCCTTGTAACACTTAGAGCACCTGCAAGCCATACAAAGATCACCTGCTCTCCAAGGGTCACAGTGTTGGCTTGTTGCCACGGCATGTCTACAGAGCAGCAGGTAAATATGTACTGAGTGAGCATTCTGTTACCTCCCTCCTGCTGCTTTCCCCAAAACTCCACCCAGCATCTGGGAGCAATTAGGAACCCCACTTTGTGTGTGCATGTGTACTGTATTTTAAGTCCTAGCTGCCCCACAAGCTTCTTGATTTTCCTAGCTCTGTCTTCTATCTTCCTGCAAGGGCATACTAGGATTATAGACATACATGCCATTGCATTCTGCTTTTATATTAAAAGTTTTTATTTAAGTTTTATGTGCATGGGTCTTTTGTCTGCATGTTGTCCATGCGCCACTTGTGTTTCTGGTGCCCTTGGAGGGCAGAAGAGGACATCAGATCCTCTGAGGAGTTACAGATGGTGTGAGTTGCTATGTGATGGGGTGTTTGGACTTGAATGCGGATCCTCCTCTGAGCCATCTTCCTAGCCTATGCTTCCTGCTTTTATATGGGGTTTTTGACAGTCCTTTACCCTCAGAGCCAGCTCCTCAGACCTACACTGCTTTCTTTCATAGTCAACTACACCCTACACCTCCTTAACAGAATCTTTTCCAGTGAAGCCCTGGCAGGTTTTACTTAAGACAGTTTTTGCTTTTTTCTTTTCTTTTTTTTAGACAATTTTTTTCCCACATAAGCACTTGTTAGTTGCCCTTACTGTATGTTACTAGCATCAAACTCAAGGCCTAATGCATGTCAGCCAAGTGTCCCACAACTGAGCTATACCCTAGCCTACCTGATATTTAAAATACTACTCTTAGGAAATAACCATTTCTTCTATTTCTTTGTTATGAATATAATTTGAGCATGTCAAGTTCAATGACAAAGCTGGCTCACCAGAATGCTTGGAGAATGGGACCTAACAATGAAATGTGGTTGACAAATACATTTTAGAAAAAATGTTACAACCCTGGGAGAGAAATGCTTCTCCTCACATAGAATTCCCATGACATTTCAATTCTATAAACCTGGATCATAGCTAACAGTTGTTCCCATTCAAAAGCATTAGGTTTATTATCTCCAAACTTAAAGCATTGAGGGGAAATTAAACATTTGTGCTTTGTGTTGTACTTTGGAACTGCCACTTGTCTTCTGAGTGTCCTGAATAGAGAGGCAGGAGAGGAACTGGATTGATTAATTTCTGTTGTAAGGTACACTGATGTGATTTCTAGAGACTTCACCGGGTCTTTGTGACAGTCACCCCCATCACAGTCACTCTGACCAGCTTCTTTTCATCTCTGAGAATATTTGCAGGAGATAACTGTGTGATTTTGCTGACTTTAGCATACACTTATCCCATGTTGCTGCTTCCAGAAAGTTCTCGAGATACGGACACTTACATTATTTTACTGCAAAGCTCAATCAGAGGATAAAACAGCCCTCAAGTTACTTCTCAAACCAAGGGCCCCTGCGTTTTCTGTATTTACTGGTGCAGAGTAGATACCTTGTTAGCAAGATGACAACTCACGTGGACTTAAGGAAATCTACTATTACCTTTAAAGATTGTCTCTTTGTCACGTAATTCTCTGACTGCAGCAGTTTCTCATAGTCTTCAAAAATCTAAGAAAAAGAAAGGAAGTCTGTAAGAGTGGTGGTGTGTTCTCTGCAGCAGGAGTGTGCTCACTCCTCCAGAAGGTCCCTCAGACCCAGCCTCATCACCACTGCTCGGCATCTCACTACTGTTCCGACACAGAAAGGATCAGGACAGGGAGGTGAAGGCATTCGGGATACATTAGTTCTACAAACTAGAAACTGAATTGAAAGAAGGCATCATTTTGAATCCTCTCAAACTATGAAAAGCTTCAAGATAACTCATTTTAAAGAAATCTGTTTCTGTAGTTTGGTGGCTGAGGGTCCACACTTTGGGAAAAGAGTAAATTATACTTAGGGCTTAGAACTGTCAAATACATAATGTCAACAGGTGAGGCTTGGGGTGACCATTGTTAGGCAGTGACCATGTCACCCCTGTGTGAGCTATTCTCATAAGAAACCATGACCCTGTGACATGAGTCTTCCCTTCAACTCAATGTAGTCACTGGTCATGCATGGGCTAGGTGCTTTGGGAGCACAGAGCATAGTAGCTGGGGAAGCTTGTTAATGGCTACCTACCATTTGTGGGTACACCATTCAGAGAACATTGCAGCTGGAGGAGCAAACAGCCAGAAGCAAAGCAAAACAAAACAAAAAAACTCAGGCACAGAGATGGACAGGACAGCCTCAGGGGGCTGAGTGACAGGCTTATGTGTACACCCATCAAAACTTTTGACTTAGGACTGAGAAGCACAAGTATGCAGTTCAGATTAAAGTCACATTATTCTCTTTCATAAACCACTTTGTTCTACTCTTAAACATAGGGAAAACATTATAGCTCAGATATGGAGGCTCTCCCTAAAAGCTCATGTATTGAATACCTGGTCCCCAGCTTATGGTGAGATTGAGAAGGAGTGTTAGTTTCATCAATAGACTAATCCCTTGATAAAGTCATAGTGGAATGGAATTTTAGGAGAGGAGAGATAGGCCACTAAAGGTCATGATCTCTCTCTCTTTATATGTGTGTGTATGCAATGTACATGTATACATGTTCACATGTTGATGGTTGTCTTCTTTGATTGCTCTACATGAGACATGGCATTTTATTGAACCAAGAGTTCATCAGTTCAGCTAGTGGTTGGTCTGCTTGTTCCAAGGAACAACTGTTTCTGTTTCTTATGCACTGGGATTGCATTATGCCCACATGACTTTTTAAGTGGGTTCTGGGGACCCTAAACTCCAGTCCTCATGTTATACCTGCTTAGCCATCTCCTCCAACCCCAGGGGCAAGCTTTGATAGGTGCAGTTTGTTTCTGGACTCTTTCTCTGACTCCTGGCTGCTATAGGGTAAGTATCTTTCCTTTGCCACATGTTTTCTACCATGATGCTCTGACCCACAATGGGTCCAGTAACAGAGCCAAGTGACCATGGACCGATACCATATTCCAAAATAAATCTTTCTTTCTTGTTCTAAGTTATTGCTCTTAGACATTTTGTCACAGCAACAAAAAGATGACCAACACATGACATTTTATAGATAGATATATTCATCAGGTAAAATACGTTAATTGTGAATCTAAACTATAAATACAGTGGACCCCGAATCCTCCTGGTCCTTTTCCATTGTCCCTTTTAGCCTTTCCTTGTAGCCCATCTCCATTCCTTTGTGACACCCACCAACTGCAGAAATATTTTCTACCACAGCCACCGCATGTGGCTAGGACTCAGAGTGGGCAAGGGCACCAAACAATGTAACACCTGAGAAAAAAGACAAGAACAGGTATCTATGCCAAACACACTTCCGTCCAAGTGCCAGGCAATGGGCAATCTGAACCCAAGCCTCTAACTTGGGCATCTAGAACTGCAAGTTTCTGGCTTTAAAGGACACAGGCGCTTAGTTCTCAGGTCCTGGAACTACGATCCTCTGAGACTGTCAGCCCAGACCCAAGCCTTCTGCATTTCCCACCTATAAGCAGTTTCCATCTAAACATAACAGAAGGTTCCCAGCCAGTCCAGAGTAACAAGAGGGAGAAGGAAATAGTCTGAAAAACGATTCTACTTACAGTGTCATAATTTTGCTCTAAGAAGTCCGCTACCAACACTTTATGTCTTGTTAACAAATCCTAAAAAGAACAAGAAGTAAAGAGAAATTATTATAGCTAGTGACCTTTATCATTAGAATGGAGAATAACCTTTGTTTCTATAGGTTAGTAAATCCATTCACTTCAAACACACAGAAGCTGGAAAAGAACATTTTCATTTATACCACAAAATTATTTCCATACCTACTTAAGATGTAAAGTCCAACTTTGTTTCATATTAAAACAATGGCAAAACACTGAGTGTCAAATCTATTGTTTTAAATAGTAGAAATAAAATTTAAGTGGTAAACACGACACCTACAAGGTAACTTTACAGAATATTTCTACACTGTGATTATAATAAACATCCAAATAAAGTCGGATGACCTTTATCCAAGGTCAGTAACTAATCATCAACTCCATACTATCTAGGCTGACCTCCAACTCCTGAGCTCAAGTAATCCTTCTGCCTCAGCCTAAGTATAGGCATCACTGACACATGTCATGGTAACTAATTTTCAAACAAGAATTCTGAATGGTACAACACCTGACCTCAAAAACTAATAAAAAAAGGTTTTCAAACATTCCAATCTTTCATTGTTTTCCTAACCACCGTGTGTGTGTGTGTGTGTGTGTGTGTGTGTGTGTGTGTGTGTGTGTGTTATGCACAAGAGTGTCCTCGAGTGCACCTGCCCATTTATGGGTGGGGGTCAGAGAAGCAAGTTGGGTCCTGCTCTGTCTTTTCTTCATTCCTTTGAGACAAGGTCTCTCACTGAACCTGGTGGCCAACAAACCCCAGTAATCCTCTTGTCTTTGCTCTCTATAGCACTGGGGTTAACAGGTTGGAGTGTGGGCACACTCAAGTTTTTTATGCTCTTAAAACATCGGACCATTTCCCCAGCTCCCTAACCACTTAAATTATTTACTTGTTTTCAAACTTTATTATTGTTGCTGTGTGTATGTATGGTTTGGGGAGAGGCATGTATGCCACAGCACTCATGTGGAGATCAGAGAACAACTCTTCATCCACCTTTAAGTGGGTTCTGAGGATCAAACTCAGATCAGGCCTGCTGAGCCATCTTTGCTCTTCCACCCCACATGGAGGCAGCTAGACTCCAGAAGCACAGGAATGACATTTAACATACCATCTCAGTACTTCTGCTTGCTATCAACGGGCCATGAAATACACACTGTAGGTTACTGAGTTACATTATACATCATCTCAGATCTCAGAGTTGAAGAGCTTAATCTTATCTTATTACAGATACAAACTTGTAGAAGACTGCAAAAAAAAAAAAAACAAAACAAACAAACAAACAAAAAAAGCCACTAAGGAACTTCTGGTTGTTTTCATCTCCCACCTAAATCATGTCCCTACTTCACTTCAATGTTTGAAAAAAGAAAATAAGCCTCATCTAATCCCTTTTATATACTTAGAGTATATAAATACCCAACTCAGGTATTGTGAAAAATTTAATTAAAAACAAGATTTTTTTAACCTTTCCAGAATAAAGCCTAATACTTTAATACAGTTGATTAAAATTGCCCCTTCTCCCCCCCCCCCACACAGTAGGGGAGGGGAGAGAGTATGTGAGTGGAGTTGCTTGTGGAAGCCAGAAGAGGATATGAGATACCCTGGAGTTAGAGTTACAGGCTGCTGTGAGCTGTAGGACAATATGCTCCCAACCAAACTCAGATCCTCTGGAAGGCATCTTCTGAGACATGTCTCTAGGCCCCCTATTTCTATTTAAATAACAAAAGGTAAATGATTTAAAGCATTTTATAGACTTTTTAAAAATTCACTTGTTTTTTTGTTTTGTTTTGTTTTTGGTGCTGCAAATGCATTTACTGTAACCTGATGATATTCTGAAGTATTGCCCAATGTCTAATGGTTCGTTAGGCTTTGGATCATTCCCATGGTGCTGAGGGTCACCCACAGACAGACCTTAGATTAAATGACTTCAAAAGGTCCAGTGCAGTGCTGTTGCCTGAGTTATGCTGCTCAGGCTGAGGCTGGTTTTGAACTCTTAGATTGCAGTGACCCTTGCAGCTGGGACTACAGGTTGCACATGCAAGAGCTCAGCTGGAAGGAATGAGGACCTTGAAGGGAGCAGCACTATCAGTCTCTTTGCTTCTTGGTCTACACTCAAGTGTGCAGCACTGATCCACCACCCCCTTCCTGCCATGAGGTTTTGTCTCACCACAGGCCCAAAGTACCAGTCAGCTGACCATGTTCTGCAACTCTAAGTTAAAATGAAATTTAGGTTGTGTAGTACTTTGTCATACAAAGCTGTGGGAAGGTAATTTAGCATATATGTTACCTAATATATTCGCTTATTTGTAGTGATAACAAAAATATACTCTTAGTGATTTCCAAAATACAACACACTACTCTTAACAAGCATCAACAAGTCCTATAATAAGCCAACATTTATTTGTCCATCTAACTGAAACCTTGCATCCTCTGACCAACTCTTACACCAGGATCATTCTTTCTTCTGCTTCTATGAGTTCTAAAATATCTTTAGATTCTGCATATAAATAATACTATGATTTGTCTTCCTGGAGTGTCTTATTTATTTAATTCCTTAAGATGCATCAATGTTGACAAAAATGGCAGGATTTCTTTCTTTTTACAGCCAAACAGTACTCCATTGTAGGTGCACAACACATTTTCTTTTCTTTTGTGTTTGTGTATATAGTGTGTATATGGTGTGTGTGAGTACAATGCACTAATGGACATCAGAGGACAATTTTAGGGAGTCGTTTTTTGTCTTCAACCTTTGTTTTGAGCAGTGTTTTCTCATTTTTTCATTGAGTGGCACAGTCTGAGTGATTTCCCCCTCTGCCTCCCATCTCACTACAGAGGGGCTTCCATCACAAATGCATGCTATCACATGCTTTTCATGTGGCTTCTTTCTGGGGATGGAATTCAGGATGTCAGGCTTGCAGTGGGCCATCTCACCAGGCACTACCTCATTTATTTATCCATTCGCTGGTCTGTCAGTGGACACTTAGGTTGATTCCTTTCCCTGGCTATTGTGAACAATCCTGCAATAATCACCCTTCAACACACTTGTTTCATTTTCTTTCAAAATACCCATGAATGGGATTGTTCAGTTCTATGATGATCCGATTTCATATTTCTGAGGTTATCCCATACTGTTTTTCACTGCACTGCACTAGTTTGAATTCATATAAATACTATGCAATGGTTTATTTTTCTCCACATCTTTGTCTCATGTAGCCAAGGCTAGCTTCAAACTCACTACGTAGTCGACGCTGGTCTTGAACTCCTGATCCTCTTGCTTCTACCTCATAGCTACTGAGATTACAGGCCTGTGCTGTTCAGCAAGTTTTTGTCTTTCTTAAAATACGCTATCTTGAAGATGAAAGGAGGCTTTTTGTAGTTTTACAACCTTCAAGACTTGAGTGACCACCCTGCTGATATGGTGCCACTTTCTCTAGTGGAGCAGAGCGCTGAGAACTGTTTTGGAACTGGGGTTTTCAAGTTGGAAACACTCTATGGGGGCTCCATTACTAGCCTGGCTGGGGTCCTTTCTAAGTAGTTGCTCTGTCAGGACATCCAGGAGACAGTAAGCTACTGCAGAGCATTTGGGGCAACCTATAAGCAGATATGGGATCTTCATCTGTAACTGGCCCTCCCCCACCTGGTAGGACCCCTGAGCAGCTTGGGGAATTTTCTATGCTCAGTGAGAACAGAAGCTGGTTTATCTTTATGGGTTGTAGCAGATACTGTAAACTGTGCACTTGCTGGGGCTCCCTACCTGCTACACTAGTCAGCCATGACTATGACGACTAGCTTCCCCAGGCCAGCCAGATAGCATTCAGCAGATCACTGCTGTCTGGGAAGGTTCTGCCAAATCTGTGTTCCCAGAGACAGAGAAAACAGTAGAAGCATGCAAAGTAAAAACAAGTGAAATTTTAAAGAATTTTAATTTAAAAATTAAAAAAAAAACTTAGTGAATTCTTTCATCTTATTTTCTAACTATTTGGTTTGATAGGGGAAAGTTCTCCACAGCATCAATATTAAGCTTTAAATAATATCTGCTATTGACATTTCTAATGAATCTGCATTAGAGAAAGTGGTGTGAAATGACAAAGACACATGACACCAGGGGCAGAGTAAAAGAGTCAGTGGGGAGGTGCCACCTACTGTGGTTACTCCCTATGCTGGAGGCTGCCACTTCCCAGAGGAGGAAAATGAAACATACAGGCTCAAGGACACAGGGCTAAGAGGTGGCAGAAAGGGCCAGAACTGAAACACCTGAATCGATCAGATTCCTGGAGGGGAAGAGTAGATGGCTACAAGGGAACCTTTTAGAGGAGAAAGACTATAATGTAGACACTGCCATGGGAATACAGCTGGCAATGAAAACCCGAGTGATTAAACTGGACAACAGTCATCCTAGAGCAAAATAAGAGGCAAACAAAGTTAACCACCACCCCCTCAAAAAAAGCCAAAATAAATAAAACCTGATGTGAGCTAATGTTCTTGTTCACAGTAAAGATTTGTCACTCACATTGGTTTAATGAAATGCTGATTGGCCAGGCAGGAAGTATAGGTGGGGCTACTAGACAAAAAGAATTTCGGGAAGAGGAAAGGCAGAGATGCAGTCCCCAGCCAGATGCAGAGGAACCAAGATGAGAATGCCTTACTGAGAAGAGGCACCAAGCCACATAGCTAAACATAGATAAGAATTATGGGTTAATTTAAGTTCTAAGAGTCTGTTAATAATAAACCTGAGCAATAGGACAACCAGCTTATATTAATATAAGCCTCTTTGTGTTTATTCAGGATGGAACAGCTGTAGGACAGGGCAGAACAGAAACCTCCATCTACAAAACCCCAGACAAATAAACCCTCTGACAGCAGCTACTTAAAAGGAAAATAAAGACTTGTGGGCTACCAGCCACTATCATATCAAGTACAAAGCACTTTGGTATAAAATGGAAAACTGGTGTTTTCATCATTGGCAAGATGCCACAGGGTTTTCTTTATATGACTATTTATATTTCAAGACCCTATCAAAGATATTCAATAGAAATCACGCTGAGTTGGCAGTGGTGGCACACACCTTTAATCCCACCACTCGGGAGGCAGAGGCAGGAGGATCTCTGTGAGTTCGAGACCAGCTCAGTCTACAGAACTAATTCCAGGACAGCCTTCAAAGCCATAGAGAAACCCTGTCTCAAAAAACAAAAAAACAAACAAAAAAACAAAAAGGAATCAGGCTGATAGGCAAAATCTAAATACCAGTTTATTTTTGTGATTCAATTTTATTAGATGGAATAAATTATAGCAAGAAAATATTGTCAAGAAACATCTGTCTATCTATCTATCTATCTATCTATCTATCTATCTATCTATTTTTGTGATATTAGGAATTTAACTCAAGTATGCTAGACAAATGTTTTACCACTATCTCCTAAACCTACATACATTGTAGGCCCTGAGAAACGCAATACAGCTGAAGTACAAGACAAGGACTTCAAAATAGCCTTTACGAATATGATAGAGGTCCTTAAAGAGGAAATGAATATTTCCATTAAATAAACAGTGGAATGAAATTAAGAAAATAGCTTAAGACTTGTAAGTAGAAATAGAATGAATAAAGAAATTCCCCAATTAAGGGAAAACAGAAAATGAAAAGTTTAGAAACTCAAAGAAGAACCTCAGAGGCAAGCCACACTAATAGAATACAAGAGATGGAAGAGAGAACCTCAGGCATTGCAGACAAGATAGAAGAAATTGAAACCTGTTCAAAGAAAATGGTAAGTGTAAAAACAAAACAAACAAACAAAACCAGGCACAAAACATCCAGGAAATCTGGGACACTATGAAAAGACCAAATTTAAGAATAATAGGGTTAGAGAAAAGAGAAGAAACTCAGGTCAAAGATATTCTTTTTTTGGGGGGGGGGAGGGTTTCAAGACACAGTCTCTCTGTGGCTTTGGAGGGTATCCTGGAATTAGCTCTTGTAGACCAGGCTGGTCTTGAACTCACAGAGATCTGCCTGCCTCTGCCTCCCGAGTGCTGGGATTAAAGTTGTGCACCACCATCACCCGGCCACAAAAATATTTTCAACAAAATCATAGAAGAAAATTTC